AAACAAGAAAAAAGGGGGAAAGAAAAAATCAAAAATTGAAAGAAAAAAGAAAGATTATGAACAATCGAAATTAGGAGGGTTGGTAAATTTAAAATAATAATAAATTAGATGCATTGGCAAATAAAAAAAAAATAATCGAAAATACTGGTAAACCAAGAAATGCAAAAAAAAAAATTAAACTTTGTCGGGGAAATCTTTAGGGTGTGGAGATGTAAAACGAATTCAAACTTAAGGAAATTTTTCTACGGCCGCAAAATAGGGAAAACTTAAGGTTGTCTTAGAACTATTCGTTACACCAAAAGAAGTTAAGCGCTTCTACTATTTGAAAAAGAAAGTTTTGATAGGACAAGCCTCCCTCAATAGTGCTTTAAGCGAATGTTGATATGTAGTTGGAAGAGCGATAATTGATTATTTAGAATATGTCGGCATAATATTATATCATCTTTGAAGAGTGTAGATTATTATATTTTAGAAATCGACATTTTAATTGGACAAGATGTCTTTTTTTTGGGAGAATTGAAAAGGGACGATATTTTCCGTGAATGGAGAGAACATTATCTACGACCTTATATAAGAAATTGTTGGAGAAAATCATCGTAGGAAAGAATAGTCAATTTCGATAACTATGACCGGGCATTAGTAGAGGCTCAGGGAATAAGAAAATCCAGAAAATATAAAAACCGGAAGATGAGATATGCTCAAAAATAAATAAAATATTGTTTTTTATTTTTTTTTTATTGCTCGAAAATTGTGCTTTCCGCGAATGTTGATAAGTAGTTGGAAGAGCAATAATTGATTATTTCGAATATGTTGGTATAATATTATGTAATCTTTGAAGAGTGTAGATTATTATATTTTAGAAATCGACATTTTAATTGGACAAGATGTCTTCTTTTTTCTTTTTTTTGGAGAATTGAAAAGGGACGATATTTTCCGTGAATGGAGAGGACATTATCTACGACCTTATATAAGAAATTGTTGGAGAAAATCATCGTAGGAAAGAATAGTCAATTTCGATAACTATGATCGGGCATTAGTAGAGGCTCAGGGAATAAGAAAATCCAGATAAATATAATAAAAAATTACTATGGCAAGCGAAATTATCTGTTATTATTTTTAGTTATTCTAAAATGTATACTGAATATTTTTTCAATATATATATACAGGAAAATATAATTATAAAAAATTAGTCTAAATCGAGTTTTAAAACACTAATTAAATTACGCAATATATGAGACGGCTCAAATTTATCTTGAGTCGGTCAGCTATTATTATTACTCTATGAGGAAAGTATTTAAAAATATTGAGCCGATTCTTAAGCTGCCTTGATATAGATATCATTGATTGATTATGATATACAGAAGACTAGTTATATAAATTTAAAAGTAGCATTATGTAAAATAAAATACTTATTAAATTTGTTAGACTATTACTCAAGGTTGATATTTTTTATTTAAACTTATCTAATCTATATATAAATTCTTCTTAAGAAACAATGTAAAATTTAATTTTAAAATACATATGGTAGTATCACACATATACGACACAAATTACAATATTTTTAATCATTTTGAATTTTTTAAAATAAATATAAGAGTATAAACAATAAAGATGCCAAGTTTGATAGCTTTTATGCTTAGAATGTATGTAAAAAATATATTATTTATAAATAGTGCTGTGAAGTAACGTCTAACGACGTTACTTTTTTTGAAGAAAAGAAACGCCATTCGTTACCATTATCTAAAAGTAAGGAATAACGGTAACGCGTTTCTATTTTTGAGTAACGGTAACGCAAAACGTTACTTTATATTTTTTCTTAAAAAATATCAATAAAAAGAAATACATATTTTATAAATATTAATAATTTAAGCCGAGTTTTAATTCATATCACCACTTCCAACTTTTTTTTAAAAATTCTCGTTATTAAATTATCAGTCGAAATTAATATTCAATCAAAATTCAAAATAAATATAATATTATTAATTTATTTATAATTTATTTTAAAAGAATATTATGTCCATAATATTTACTTCTTCAGGAAGAAGATATAACCCTTCCCTGGCCACAATTTGATAAAGAAAGAACAGGCTTGATTTTTTTATCCAACACAACACACACTAGAATATTTTCAGATAATGATAAAAAAAATTTTGATGAGGAAATGAATGAAGATTTCTGTTAAGATGATCTTTCAAGCTTTTTTCAAAATAAAGATATATCCTTATATATTTTTAATAAATTCCCCGAATTGAAAATTTTGTTTATTAAATATAACACCACTCTCCCATCCTCTGCGCCAATTGAACGTGTGTTTAGCACGGCGAAAGCTGTGTTGAGTACTAAGCGCTCATGTTTATCTGATCAAAATTTTGAAAATCAATTGTTGTTAAAAATAAATAAAAATTGCTACATAAAGATGTTATCTTATATATGAAAATTTTATTATAAAAAGATCTTATCTTATATGTTCTTTTTGTATAGTTTTATTTTATTATATATTGTCCGAAAAAAATAAGTTTTTTTGCATTATATATAACATTTAATTTTTTTAAGTAACGAGTAGCCCGTTACTTTTTTAATAAGTCGGTAACGCGCGTTCCTTTTGTAAAATGGTAACGAGACGGTAACGCGTTCCATTTTTCAGAAGTAACGAGTAACGGTAACGCGTTTCTTTTTTGTAGTAACGTTTAAAGCACTTTTTATAAATAATAAAACATTCGTTAATTAATAAATAATTAAATTTAATCTTATAATTGTGAAAAATCGGATGAAATATAAATTTTTTCAATCCCAGGGCTTGGCAATTATCCGGTTTTGACTGATTTATAACATTTTTTATATAAATAAAATATATTAAAATCTAAATTTAATTATATTTATTTTTTTATAAAAATTATGGAAAAATTTTATGAGTGGGTAGAGGGCAAGATATATAGGAGTTACCTTTAATAAATTTCGATTTTATATAGATGTAGACGCTTTTCAATTGTAATATCGTTATCTATTTTTATTGTGAATGTTTAAAGAAATTGCTTTGCACTAAACTAATAAGGGCACTAATATAAAATAAGATGATGTTAATACTTATTCGATACTATGTTATGAACTTTAGATATATATAATTAATCTTCATATTTTTGATCTATAAATCTATCAAAAAAAAAATGCGAATAGTCTATGACAATATTGTCCTTAATTTATTTATTATTTCCGTAATTTCCATGTATGAACAAAATTTACTAGAAAGAATTGAAAATTTAATGGGCATTTATTTTGTTTTATTTTCAAATTTCCCAGTATTTGCACTAATTTTTTTCTTTTGCCAATATTTATCCGGAAAATTTTCTCCGGCCAGTTTTTTTTTGAAAAATTTAATCCTCAAGTTGGTACTAAGTTTTTTATACTATAAAGTATAGATATATATTAGGTGTGCCCATAATCATAAAAATATAAATAAATTTTGAAGAAAAAAATAACATAAGCTATTTTTAATGTAAAAATAAAATGGTGTCCAATTTCATTTTTCGGTATTTATAAAAATTAATTTTTTTAATAATAAAAAACAATAAATTCGAGTAAAAATTTATTTAATTTTAAAATTTTTATATAGTAATGTACAATTTTTGATGCTGTTAATTTTTATAAATTTACTAACCCAAACGATTATAGCCTTTTATATTAATACTAGCTAATAACACATCAAGAATGACGGGGTTGAGGGGTAATTAGTTAGTTTGTATATATGGTACTAAATATGCTTTACAGTAAAATTTAGGAAAAAAAGAGATAAAATTGTTGCAATGTAACCCGTGAGCATTAAGGGTATTATAAATATCAAAATTTAAATTTGTGATATATATATCATATTGGGTAAAATGAAAAATAGAGATGCTTCTAAATTTTTGAATTTTAAATATGGGCTAGACATTTGTCTCAAAATTTTGTTTGCAGACACAGCAGGCCTGATCAAAAAGCTAAGTCCCATACAACTTTCATAAAATTTTGCAATTTATTTCTATTAATTTAATAACAATGTCTTAAATTTAATTTTATATTCCATTTATTTCTATTTTACATTTATAATAAAATTTAATTTTATATTTAGAATAAAATTTAAATTTGTGATAGAAATCATATTGGATAAAATTTAAAATAGATGTGCTTGAAAATTATTTAATTTTAAATATGAACCAGACATTGGCCTGAAATTTTTTTTCTCAAACCTGGCCAACCCATTTTGCAAATTTTTCCTGGAGATAGGTAAATCTTTGAAAACCATTTTGTTGGGAAAATCTCAAGCCCGCCAAAGACCATAATAATTTTGTTAGTTGAGAACTCAAATAAAATATATAAAAGTCATAATTCAATTAAAAATAAAATCAATGAAAGTTGCATTGGCTTGATTTTTTAATCAGGCCTGGTGATTTCTGCAAAAAAAAATTTCAGGCTAATGTCTAGCCCATATTTAAAATTAAAAAATTTTCAAGCATTTCTATTTTATATTTTACCCAATATGATTTCTATCATAAATCTAAATTTTATTCTAAATATAAAATTAAATTTAAGAAATGTTAAGGATGTTGAAGCAATATTACATAAATTTCATTCTTTAGATAACGAAAAGTAACATTAATATATTGAAATAACACTTTAAATTTTAAAAAATTTATAATGTGCATTTAAAAAAAAAATTATTCTAAAAAACTTAGAAAATTTTTATTCTCATTTCCCACTTAAACTTGGGTCCAAAACATAAAAAAATTATATTCGATATATAACTTTGACGTAAATCTTCATTAAAGTTTAAAAACTCTTATTATTAAAAAAATTTAAAAAAAATTATATCAAAAATTTTATCAAAATGTTTTTACAATAATTATGGAAAGTTATTTAACTATATAAGAATGTTTTTTCACATTATGAAAATGTGTTACAACAAATCATATTAATACTGTATTTTATCTAATATAGTTTTTATATAGTGTATTTTATAAATTTTATTCAGAATAAAAACTTAAATTTTATTATGTGCTCTATTTTTTTAATGTGTAATATAGAAAATAAATAAATGCAATTATTGAATACAAAGAAAAAGATATTCATTTTTACATTCGACACAATGTAGCATCAATTTGTTTAATTGAAGGCAATTCCAGCATAATTTTTCTTCGATATTGAGGATCCTTTTCTATTGGATTTCCTTCTAAATATACAGTTGCAAGTTTTTTAGCATTCTTAAGTTCTTCTAAATCATTCCAGTCAGATATATTATTATTGCTACACCAAAATTCAATTAAATTGGTTAAATTAGATAGATGTTGCAATTTTGAAATTCGGTTGTTTCCAATATCTAATGTAGTCAAAGTGAGATTCCTCTCCAATCCTTCAATCTAAATCAATATTTTAATATATATGCATTTAAAATGTTACCATATTTATACCATTATGACTAATATATAATTCTTCTAAATGTTTTAGAGTACTCAAACCTTCAATTTTTGTAATATGATTACTTTGCAAACTCAGTGATTTAAGTTTGGATAAAGAACTTAGATCAGATATTTTTGCAATTTTGTTTTTACCCAAAAAAAGTTCTTCTAATTGTGTTAAATGACTAAGATTTTCAATATTCTTTATTTGATTTGAGCCTAATTCTAAAAGTTCCAATTTTATAAGGTTATTAAGGTTTTGAATCACTTTGATTTTATTGTTGACCAAATAGAGCTTTTTTAAATTAACTAAAGTATCTAAATTTTCAAGCACTGATATTTGATTAAATGATAAGTCCAATATTTCTAAGTTTATAAGTGATGATAAATTTTCGATTTTATCAATTTGATTATCGTATAAATCCAATTCTGTCAACGTGTTTGATATACATTCTAAGTTTTCTATCTTATTTATTAAATTGTTCCGTAAGCAAAGATTTTTAACGCACGTAAGACCATCTAAATTTTCAATTTTGCCTATTCTAGCGTGATTCAAATCCACTTCAATTTGATCTGGATCCAAAACAACTTCATCTTCTTGTTTCTCATTCTCAGAATGCATTTGAATTTGGCAGAGGATATTTGCTCACAGAGGGGTGTAAATAGCATTTTATGATATTTGCCCCAGTGGGTAAATAGCATTTATAACGATAAAATCATATTTGCCCACCTGATTAATGATATTTGCCCCAGTGGAAAATAGCATATATAACGAGAAAATTATATTTGCCCACCTGATTAATGATATTTGCCCCAGTGGGTAAATAGCATATATAACGATAAAATTATATTTGCCCACTTGATTAATGATATTTGCCCCAGTGGGTAAATAGCAAAGTTGTTAAAAGATACTTTTTAAATGGATCTAGATACAGATACAGATACATCGTCTAAAAGTTATCTAGATACAGGTACACCCTCTAAAAAGTTATCTAGATACAGATACAATTTTAAAAATGTATCTATATACAGATACAATTTTTTATACTCTTATATAAGATTTGCATAAACCTTTGGTCATTAAGGCATCCTCGTTTATCTGTAAGACATTTTTAGGGATTGTAGTGTTATATTTTATGAATAACAATTTTATATCAGGATATTCTTTAAAAATACTAATATAGACATTAATTTAAAAAAAAATGATTTAAAATTTGTTGAGTATCAAAATTTAAATCATGATTAAAGCATACAGTTGAAAACCTTAATAATTCATCAACTAATTTTTGTATTAATAGTTTTTTTCATTCACAGTGTTGATGTTTTCTCTTAAAATTACAATTTTAAACATTTATTTAGTATCAAGATCCTTAAATGTTTTACAATGTTGCAAGTTGAGGTAATGCTAACTGAAATTTTCGTATTTTTTGGTAAACACTTAAAAATTATCTCAAAACAGATACAGATACCTCTAAAATAATATCTAGATACAGATACCTTAAATAAAAATCTATCTAGATACAGATACCACATTTTTATATCTAGATACAGTATTTAGATACTTTAACAACTCTGGTAAATAGCATTTAAATAAAATAATATTTGCCCCCCAATTTTTAAATATATTTTAGGCTTGGATTATTTTAAAATCTAATATATAGATAACCTAAAGAAAATCAATATGAAAGAAAGGTCATAAATCATTTGAAATATATAAATTTAAAAAATCTTTTATCTTTGTTAATCTTATTAGAAGCATACCTGTTTTTTTATTGTAAAGCTGGCAAATTAAAATTAATTTGATTAAAAACATCAAATAAAATTTTATTTAGTAAATTTCATTAAAATACTTAACATAGACAAAGACTTAGATTATTATATAATTTTTATATATGGATTTTTTTTAAATCTTATTTATAGATAGCCTAAAGAAAAGCCTTAATTTTTTTATTTTATGAAAGATAGGTCATGATTTCTAAAAATCTATATTTGAAATATATAAATTTAAAAAATCTTTTATCATTGTTAATCTCATTAATATCAAATATACATTTTGACATTTTTTTTATTTGATAATAAATACAACATAATGATATGCATTTTTTTATTAAACCATTCAAATTTTATAAAATTGATATTAAATAATAGATATATAGATTTTATAAGCTAATAAACGTTAATATAAAAAAATGAAATTAAATATTATAAAAGTTGGCATGTTCTACAAAACCATAATTTTTTTCTAGGCTTTTTATTAATATTCTGGCACTGCAAATGGTACCAGTTTAAACAAATATCACAACAAATAGAAGAGCTTTCTAATTCCATTTGCATCCTCTTTGTTTTAGAGACGCTATGCCGGATACGATTGCGTGAATTAGCTCTATACTGATAATCATTTTATCAAAAAACCATAAATAAAAATTTTACTAAACGAAAAACTAAATTTGAGTCATGACATGGTGAGAATAAAGTTTAAGTTATTATTCATATTTTATCTGGTTGAGAATATATAATGAGATAATAATTTGATTAACTGATGTAAATCTTAATGTTATTACTCATGACTTTTCTTTCTCTAATATTCTGGTTTCATATTAAATCACGCATGTCAAGTAATATGTCGAGTCACGAGATATTTTTTAATAGCTGTTTAATTTTCGCAATACTTCCCAAAATTCGGCAAAAAAAAATAAAATGGTTTTAGAAACTTCTCAGAGCGAACGTTTAACAAATGAGGATTTTAGAAAACTAATATCAGCTAATAAAAAGAAAGACCGGGATTTGAAAAGATCTGAAAAGCACCTCAAAAGGTTTATCACTATACCTCATAAATTAACCATTTATTTTTGATTGAAGACAAAGGGATAATGATTCCAAAACTAATCAGAAAAAGTTTAAAGAGGGTGGTAAAACTGACGAAAAAAAAACAGTTGATAATGATGAAGAAAAGAATAGATTAAAATCGATAAATAAGGACGACTCCGAAAGCTATAATGAAAGAAGAAAACGGAAAATGTATTTTGCAAAATTAAAAAAGGAAGAAGAAGAACGTGAAAAAATTTTAGCAGCCAAATATCGAGATCGCGCTAAAGAGAGAAGAGAAGGAGAAAATCCTGATTATCAAGTAGATACATATTTAAAATATATACTTTATATGAATATATAAATTTCTTAACCATTTCATGCACAATAATTTGCAACAAAAAAGGGAATATTTTGCAAAGACATAATTTTTTTTTTAGTAAAAAGGATAAAATTATTCAAGATAGAATGTCTTATATTAAAATATTATAATATGAAAAAAGTATATTATTTATAAATATTAACAATTATTTTTGGCCTGAGCCCAACCTAAGGCTGTCTTTATGGCTCAATCACTACTCATAAAAATGATTAACATATTCATGCAGGTTATATTTTGTTGATCCCTAGACATTGAGCTAATTTTATTCTTTGATAAAGTCAGCTCAAATAAGTTAACACCTATGAATGATTTACCTCTAAAGAATTTATTTTAGAATTACTCTGAAAAAAATTATTGATGGAATATTTGTATAAACATCCTCACATCTCTTATAAAATACTTCAAATTAAAATATTTTATAATAATTTTGTATTTTAGAATGTTGATTTGATAAGTGCCACTTCTGGTTATAAGGCTGTAGCCCCTGATTCTAAAACTACAGAAGGAGCAGCTGAAAGACGGAAGCAAATGATACAAGAATCCAAATTTTTGGGTGGAGATATGGAACATACTCACTTGGTTAAAGGCTTGGATTATGCTTTATTACAGAAAGTTTGAATTATATTTATTTAACTAGATTTATTGTTATTTATTCTACAGGCATTATTCATTAAGATTTTCAAATTGCATTGCCCATTAAATTTTTGCCAAAAAATTAGTATAATTCCCATTTAAATTAGGATTTGGAAATAGCAATTTTTTTTTTATATTTCACTAAACATAATTATTATCAAAATTTATCATTTACAAAACACTTGACATTCTGCAAATCCTTTTAGAATATATCTAAAATTTGATCTTATATTTGTGACACCAACAAACAATACTCAAAATATATAAGTAATATTTCTTTTTAAATTGTAAATTCCAACAATAATAAATAATATATATAAAGAGATTATCATTAAAATCTTTAAAATGAAATAATTTTACAGTTTTTTCTTGTCCAACTATTTTCTGATTTTGAATTGCACTAGACCTTAAGAGTAAATAATAGGTTATATGTAAGCTGATACACCCAACTAGTTGATTTTAGTTAAGGATTGTCTATATAAGTATCATCAACAAAAGTTCTATTTTAGGATCTCTGTCATTCAATATCCGAGGCAGTATTTAATATAAAAGGTGAAAACATTTACTGAAAACTTTTTTGCAATGGTTTGGTATTTAATCACTCATAGGTCAGGCATTATCAACTTTTTTGCAATAAACCCAATTGGTGTTTTCAATAGTCTGGACCCATCCTGTCCGATCCTATCTAAAATGAGACTGGACCAATGGACTGTTAAGTCAGTTGAGACCAGACCATGGGACCATTGGTCCAAACCCATCTAAAAAATGTTTTTTGGTTAAGCTATAAAAGTTTTATTTTAAATTTATTAAAAATGAAATGTTCTTAATTTGCAATATTTTAATTATATCATCAAACATTTTATATCACTTCAATGAAATGGAAGAATATAAAAAGTAAACGATGAATGAGATATTATAAAATGTTAAGCATTAAATAATTATGTTTTATGTGTTCATGTACATATTAAAAAGCAATTCATAATAAACTTATCTTTTTTAATCAGTCTTCAGTCAGACTGGACCACTGCACCAAGTTGTTGGGCTGGACCCAAATGGATCACTGCAAACATTACATTCAAGGTTTCTGTTATATAAATTATTAACTTTAGAGGGTTTTTTAGGCTATGTAATATTTTTATAAGTGATTTTGACAATATTTATCTCTTTTATCCACAAATTATATATGTTTTTTTATATTTAATCCTTTTTATTAATTTAATAATAGAAATTATATAAATTAATTAGAATAACATGTAAACTGCATCTATGATAACATATTTAGAAGCAATTAAAAAATTTTGTTAAAAATAATTATCCTCCTCGGTGACGACCATGAACCCTTAAATAATATAAAATTGTAACATAATATCTCAACACTGATTTTTAGTTTAATTAAAAGGGCCCTTGAGGTTATGACATCCACTCCATTGTCTCATAAATAGGTACAAATATGTAAGGCACGAAGGAATTAATAAAAGAATACAAGTCATTATTCAAAGCATGTGTTCCATCACATTTCGAACCATGGGACACTTTTGATATTAATAACTGGTGGCCTGATAGACATACATCAATACCCTGGGATATAGGGAAACACATATATAGACATTTTCGTGTCATCAAGTAATAATTATGATCCATTAGGTATAGCAGAAAAAAATCCCCAAAATATTCAGTAGCTGACAATAATATATTTATACCCTTTGTGGTTTCAACAAACACTCATTTGGCAATAAGGCTAAATCCCTAATCAAATTAATTAGCCAAGAGAGTCATAAACAACAATCTCAAGGCCCTTTTGATTAAACAAGAAATCAGCTTTGGAACATTACGTTGCAATTTTAAATTATTTAAAGATTCATGGCCGTCACCATAAGAGGATAACTAAAAAAAAGTTTATATGTGTTTTAAATTTTATTTCTAAATATGCTATTCTTATACCTACGTTATTTTTAATTACTTTATACCAGAGACTAGTAGAGATATCATTTGTAACGGCCCAGCTTAGATTGTTTTAAAATATATAATGTATTTTTTTTAAATTTTTATAGCTAATAATGGCGATTTAAAAGATTTGGTTTAAAAATATACGATCCGTTTCTGGTATTTTTTAAATGGCCTGGCTTGGGTATTTTAAAAAATAATTTCAAGACTGACCCAGCCTGGGTATATTTAAAAAATTTGAATGCAGCTCGGTCAGTGTACCCAGGCTAGGTATGTAGGATTTTAGTCCACAATAGAATATTAAAAATTACGAAAGGGCAGATAAGTTAAAATGGCGTCCAATATGGCCTTTAAAGTTTGAAGCGAGAGAATTTAAAATATTAATGCTAATTAATAAATGGCCACTAATATATTTCAATCGGTAATTACAAATCAAACAGATTTTATTATGGTAATTTATATATTTAATATTAAATTAATAGATAGAAAGAATTATAAGAAATAATTAAATATATAATTGTTTGTATCATTTAATATATTGATTAATATTAAAATACTTAGTATAAATTATTCTATTTATTTAATATAATGTAATTAATATAACATTTAATATTTTAACATATTACGTGTAATTTATTTTATGTTAATATATTTAAATATTGAATATAGTTTATTATATATTTAAAATTTGAGTATATAAAATTTTTATTATAATTATTTAAAATGTATATAGATTTATATAATATATATTGATTTATATAACATATTGCTCATAGATTAATGAGTATAATTTAATTACTTACCAAGAAATCCATGAATAAATTTTTTATCATCGGATTTATACATTATTTCTATAAATATCCGATTTCCTAATATATATTAGCTTTTTGGGTTTCTAATGACTAATGGGTATATGTTAATTACATATCTTACTAGGAGATCCCTGAATAAAAATTTTATCATAGGTGTTTATACTTAATACAATGAGACACTTAAAGGATATATTGTTATTTTATTAAATCACCACAATATTTATTTCACAAAAAAATATATAATTTATGGGGAAATCTTGTAATACATTATAAGGATATCATTTAGTATAAAATTTAAACTCAATAACGTTAAGTATACTTAGAAAAAAATAATTTGTAGAAAAAATATGCATAAATATGAATAAATAAAAAAAATTTACATAAATTGTGGATAAATCAATGACATATTTAATACCTAGACTGACGATTCATTCATTAATAGTGTACAAATGCAAATCAGCTGAAGACGCCATCTTGGTTACACTAATCATTATTAAAATTTTAAACGAGAGCCTAATTATTCCTATATCTGATGTAAACTTTATTAAAGAATTACCGGATCATCGAGATAATAAGGAAGCAAGTTATCAATTTAATAGTAGTTTTTAACATGAGAATAATTACCATATGTGTTACCAAAATGGCGGGTCCAGCTGATTTGCTTTTAACGGCGCTTAAAAATGCATTTTAATGAATGAATCGTCAGTCTAGGTATTATACGTCATTGGGATATATACAATATAAAATTAAGCCATAAATGTAAGAACGACCATAAATATTGAAATTGGTGTATACCACTTCTGTCTGACACGACTAGAATATAAATACTTAGACTATGACAACAAGAAAATTATTGAACAATTAATATAAAATGACGTAGGAAAAATCACGAATATATATGGCCAAAGTAGACGTTTTAGTTTAAAAAAAACTTAAATGTGATTAGATTTTTTTGAATATAAATATCTGGATATTTTTTCTAAATATTCCATAGGAATATATATTTACCCACAATAAAGAATCCCTAATTTTATCTTCTATTTTGTAATATATTTTTCTTCTCTCTCTAACTTTCCTTCCATCATCTAACTGTTATAATTTCAGATCCATGTCCTGTTCTTTAATTTTTATAATGTCAGTAAAAAGATAAATGTTATTATGAGAGTAAGGATTATATTCTTTCAAAGATCTGTGGAACCCTTCGACATAATTATTTGTCCTCTCACTTCTAACATCAAAAATATTCCACATTTGATTTTTAAACCTTGCATTACTATTAATCCAAGTGTTTTCAAAATAATAATTTTTTACATCATTATTTTGTATATTTAGCATAGTCAGACCACATTGCTGAATTCGCCTAACCACACTTTGACAAAAATGAATAAGACAGCATTTAACAAGAATGTTTGGAAAAACATTCTTTAGGGTTAAATATACGCCAATTTCAAAATCAATGGTCGCATATTTTGGGGAAAAATTTAAACCTAAAGTAAAACAATAATTTTTTTAAATAAATTTAACATATTTATATAAGTATTTTTATATTTATTAGGCAATAATAAATAAACATACAATTAAGGCATGGTTAATTAAAATATTAATGGTATAGAATTCATAAAATAATTTAGGACAGGAATTAAAAGTTCCATCCAAAAAAATATTTTTAGCCAAACAAAGGCATAAAAGAAGAGATCTAGTAGAAAATATTAACATTTTTGTCATCACAACTATGAACTAAAAAATTAGTTCCAGTCAAGGTTATTGTATGCTCTTGGCTTAATATGATATCAGCATTATAATGGTAAGGGGGGGTCTGTTAATTGAATAACACGTCCCATAATGGATTTAACTGATGAAAAGGTAGGTAACGTTTTGGGGTTTTGCATACAGAAAGGATCGAGTTTTCTGTCTCTCATAACCTTTCTGTATGTCTTTCTAATACTGATATTTTTATTTACCATAAGTTCTGTTTTAAGCATATTGATCGTGATGAGTGTATTATATATTTCTTCATCATTATGAACAATATTCTTTTGTGTCATTATAAAATGAGTATTTAAAATTCCTCTCCCTTTACAATGTTTTATATGACATTTATAATATATTAATTTATCATTAATGTACAAATACTTATTAGAATATAAAAGGTCATTATTATATTTTGATTTTATAAATTTATAAATTGCTTTTTTTAAAAAAAAAGAAATCTTGAAAATTGAATGGTGATTGATCTATTTAAAAAAAAATAAATAAGAAAATTAATTTTGAATATCATTGCAATATAATTGATATAATGAAAATATTGTACCATATTGTATATTACATTAAATTGGTGAATAATTGTTTTTACTGATAGCAACTTCTTGAATGAGAATGGTAATAGAATAGCTAGCTTTATAATTGATATAGTAACAATATATGTATCATATTGTATTTTACATTGAATTGGCAAATAATTGTTTTCACTGATAGCAGCTTCTTGAGTGAGAGTGGTAATACCATCTCGAATAGCTTTATAATTGATATAGTAATGATATTCAAAATTAATTTTCTTATTTATTTTATTTTTAAATAGATCAATCACCATTCAATTTTCAAGATTTAATTTTTTTTAAAAAAAGGCAATTTATAAAATTATAAAATCAAAATATAATAATGACCTTTTATATTCTAATAAGTATTTTACATTAATGATAAATTAATATATTATAAATGCCATATAAAACATTGTAAAGGGAGGGGAATTTTAAACACACATTTTATTATGACACAAACGCATGTTGATCATAATGATGAAGAAATGTATAATAAACTCATAACTATCAATATGCTAAAAACAGAACTATTATTAAATAAAAATATCAGCATTAGAAATACATACAGACAGGTTATGAGAGGCAGAAAACTCGATCCCTTTTGTAGGCGAAACCCTAAAACGTTACCTACGTTTTTATCTGTCAAATCCATTATGGGACATGTTGTACTACGAGCCCCCCCACCCCTACCCCATTCTAATGATGATATCGCATTAGGCGAAGAGCATACTTCAACCATGACTGGAATAAATATTTTAGTACATAGTCGTGAAGACAAAAAATTATTAATATTTTCTACCAGATTTCTTCTTTCACGCCTACGTTAGACTGAAATTTTTTTTTGGATGGAACTTTTAATTCCTTCCCTAAATTATTTCATCAATTTATACCATTAATATTTTAATTAACCATACCTTAATCTTATGTGTTTATTTATTATTGCTTAATAAATATAAAAATACTTATATAAATATGTTAAATTTATTTATAAAAATTATTGTTTTACTTTAGGTTTAAATTTTTCCACAATATGCGACCATTGATTTTGAAATTGGCATATATTTAGCCCTGAAGAGTATTTTTCCAAACATTCTGGTTGAAGGCTGCTATTTTCATTTTTGTCAATGTGAGGTTAGGCAGATTCAGCAATATGATCTGACCATGCTAAATTTATAAAATAATGATGTAAATAATATTTTCTTTTATTATGGCTATTTTGTTTTTATTAGAACGTTATGTGCTATATAATATGAATGAACTAACAATATAAACTATGAGTTGTGCGACTTTTTAGATTATTTTGTAAACACTTGGATCAATAGTAATGCAAGGTTTAAATATCAAATGTGGAATATTTTTGATGTTTGGGATGAGAGGACAAATAATCATGTCAAAGGGTTCCACAGATCTTTGAAAGAATATATTGCTTACACTCCACCCTAACATTTATCTTTTTATTGACATTATAAAAATTATAGAACAGGACTTGGATCAGAAATTATTACAGTTAGATAATGGAAGGAAAATTACAGAGAGAATAAAAATATATTGCAAAATAGACGATAAAATTTAGAAAAATGTTTCTTTATTGTAGGTATATTATATATTCCTATGGAATATTTAGAAAAAATATCCAGATATTTATATTCAAAAAAGTCTAATCACATTTAAGTTTATTTTAAACTACAATGTCTACCTTGGCCATATATTCTTTATTCGTGATTTTTCATTAATTGTTCAATTATTTTTATGTTGTCAATAGAAGAACAGCTATTAGTCTAAGTTCAGTCGGGTCAGACAGAAGTGGTATACGCCAATTTCAATATTTATGGTCGTTCTTACATTTATGGCTTAATTTTATATTGTATTTATCCACAATTTATATGAATTTTTTTTATTTATTAACGTTTTATTGCATTTATGCTCATTTTTTATACAAATTATTTGTTTTCTTTGTTTACTTAACGTTATTGAGTTCATATTTTATACTAAATAATACCCTTATAATGTATACAAGATTTCACAATAAATTTTATATTTTTCTGTGAAATAAATATTGTGGTGATCTAATAAAATAAAAATACATCCTTTAATGCTTATACATGTGCCTCATTGTAATAAGTATTAATATCTACAGTAAAAATTTTATTCAGGGGTTAAGATAAGTAATTAACATATACCTATTAATCATTAGAATCTCAAAAAATTAAAATATTTGAGGAAATCTGATATCTATAGAAATAATAAGTATAAATCCGACGATAAAAAGTTTATTCATGGATTTCCTGGTAAGATAAGTAATTAAAATATACACATTAATCATTGAGCAGTATGTTATATAAATAAATTAATATATTAATTACATTATATTAAATCAAACAATCATATATTTAATTATTTTATAATCATTTAATTTAATATTAAATTTAAATATCTTATTATTTTACATTATATTAAATAATACAAACAATTATATATTAATTATTTCTTATAATTCTTTATATCTATTAATTTAAAATTAAATATATATTCCATACTAAAATCTGTCTGATTTGTAATTGCCGATTGAAATATATTAGTGGCCATGTTTTAATTTAACAGTAAGATTATAAAATCTCTCGCTTCAAACTTTAGGGGCCATATTTAAAGCCTATTTAGCTTATTTGACTTTTGATATTTTTTAATATTCTATAGAATCGACCTAAATCGAATTGGTTAATGGTTTTAGTGACATTAAATTCAGGTTAAAAATTACTTATATTACCTTGAAACCATAGTGGCGCAATGGCGATCGTGAATTAACAGCTGATATTTTTTTAAAAATCTGTATAGATCAACTTTTCTTTATTAAAATCATTATTTCTTAGATTATTATTATTATGAATTAAATTGAAGATAAAATGAATATTAATAAATAAAAATTGATCATAAACAAATTTTTAAAATCGATCCGCTGTTAAATCGCGATCGCGCCACTATGAATTTAAGATTAGATTCAAAATATTTAAAATTCGTTATAAGACAAAATTTTTTAGCTACTGTCATTTAAAATAATCATTTTTACTTGTATATTTTAAAAAAAATACATTTAGTGTTTATTAATAATCTAATATTTGTAACCCCAGCTTTATCGAAAACAAGCATATACACAAGAATTCATTATGGTGGGGGGGGGGGGGTTACATTTTTTTAGAATTATTCTAGAAGTTGTTTAAGAACATCTTAAGTTTCAGAAATTTATTAGGACTAGTTACTTTAAAATATTGACAATTTCTAATACACAAATTAAAATATAAAGTAATGATAAGCTATTAAATGTATATAATCGGCATATGAATCACCATAAAATAAAAGTCTCGAAAAAGAAATTTGTAAAAAAAAATGTAAATTTTTTAAGAATTTAATATTTGATATATAAATTTAAATTACATTTAAATATAAAAAATAAATGTTGGAAATATAGGTTAAAACACAAAAATATTCTTAAGAATAAAGTATTTATGAAAAATATATATATGGTGTATTAAAAGATGGGGAAAAATGTAATTAAGAAGCATGCTATAAATTTTTAATATAAAATTCAATGTTCTTTGGGATTGAGCTAATTTTTTAATGATTTCATTAGTCTAGGTATATTTAAAAGGGCTAACCACCCATTCAATCTATATTTTCGTATCTCAGTACTGTTGTTGAATCGCTCAATTTAAGCTGATTTTTACAGCTAACTCAATATTTTATCCAGAAAAATATTAGGCAAGTTTGAAGATTTTGCTCATGGGTGGCACAAAGGTTTGGACATCTATTAGCCAAATCTCGAGGCTTGGGAAATATTTTTTTTCTGGCTAAAATATTGAGTTCAGTCCTTTTTTAAAAATAGACACAAATTGAGCCATTTAACACTGCTTCTCAGGTATATTTTTAATAATTGTTAAAGAAGAAAATGTTCTTTCATCGATAGAAGTACTAAGGGGTAGATGTTGCCAAAAGATATTAATAATAGTTATATATTTAGGAGAATAGTCTAAAATGAAATTTGCCACCTGTTCTGGGGGTCTCAAGTGGTTCTAACTCTTATTTTTTTTTTTGACTTTTTCAAATTTTTAATTTGACCAATAAAATTTTTATCCCGCGGATGCGAGTTGTTTGTCGTGGTCCGTCCCTTTTTTTAATAAAAATTTTTAAATTCCGTTTTTAAATAACAGATAAATAATAATAATTTTTTATTACCTTGTTTTAGTTTATCATCGAGAAAAAGAAAAAAAATTAAGCACCCGTTTAAATATTTGGGTAATTTTCAAACGATCAATTATTATGAGTTTTATTTTAAAAAAAATGTCAAACCCGATATATTTTAGCGAAAAAAATAGTGAGCGAGCAATGGATAGTTTGATCCATAGATGCCAGAAAGGTTTGGAACATCTATTTAACAAAATTTCGAGGCTCGCGCGATATGGTTTTGGTAATTTAAAATAGGCTGAATCAAGCCGTTTTACAAAATTGATCCTATTTTCATCTTTTTCAAATATTATATGAGCTCTTTAAAATTTCTTACCCCTCCCCCAACTAGGTCAGGAGCGAATTAACCGTCAAGGGGAAATACGTAGATGAAGAGGAAATTGGAGATGATGATGAAAGGATGGACAAACAAGCGAATGAGTAATTTTTTATGAACATGGTGCAATTTTTGCTTTTTTTACTTTCTTCTATAAGCCAAAACTCAACTACGCCTAACAAACCTAACAACAAGAAAACCAGCCAACCCGAATTTCTTCCCCATTCACAAAGACAACTCGTCTCGGCCGCCCGTGATCCGTTAGCAAAAGCCATTTGCCGCGCGCTATATGGAAATCAGGAATTGCCACGTGTCAACGAGCTTTTCGCGGTTCCTCGTCGTTTAGCCTATGTATTTGATATGAAGGAACAGGAAGAAGAGGGCTCTGAAGACGACGATGAGGAGGATAGCGAAGAAGGCGAGGAGGAACATGGAGATGAAGAAATTGGTAAAATTTTGTTGAATACTGATCTACCATATTCACATGTAACAAATATTTGTGGTTTATTTTGTAATGATGGTATTTGTCATATGATGTGTAAATAAATTTTAATTTTAATTAAGAATTTTCTTTAAAACCACGTGTAGTTAAATAAATCTAGTTTTTAAATATAAAAAAAAAGGTGGAAGGAGATTAATGAAAATCCAGGATTAGTCATTAAAATAATTTATGATTCATTCTGATTTCTTATTGCACTAAAGAAATTTTTTGGACATATGAGCATGATTATCATTTGTTTCAAAGTTATGCTAGGGGTTAATAAAGTTTCTTGAAATATCACATATTCTAATTTATATATAATCTTTCTTTCTTTCGTTCTTTCTTTCTTTCTTTCTTTCTTTCTTTCTTTCTTTCTTTCTTTCTTTCTTTCTTTCTTTCTTTCTTTCTTTCTTTCTTTCTTTCTTTCTTTCTTTCTTTCTTTCTTTCTTTCTTTCTTTCTTTCTTTATTTCTAATTTAAAAAAAGTGGCACGGACTTTAAGTCTCCCCTTCAATCAATGTTATTATGAGTAAGAAATACTATTATTTGTTAATAAAACATAAGATAGTGACGCTGAGGGTCACGATACAAAGCGAAAATCGAAAAAAAGAAAAAAAGATAGACAAACGTTGAAAGATATTCCTACCACGCTTTTAAGGAGTAAATCCGAATGTCCGGTGTTAGATGTAATATTTTAACTATTTTTCCAATATAAATAAATATATATATTTAAATACAAAATTGTTCAAAATCAATTTCAAAAACAAAAAATTATAATGTAGACTCAAACTACGCTTACTACCAACGATATCGTTATTAACAAATTGACTCAAATTTTGTCATATTTAAGACAAGGGGTCAGGGGTAATCCTGGCAAAAAAATGAAGAAAAAGGGAGGTTTAAACAAATGCTTTTTTTCAAAACTAATGTCCCCTCCCCATTTTTAAAACTCATTTATTACATTCTCTTTATATACTTATTTTATTTCTTATTAAAATTCTATAAGTTATTTCTTTAAAAAAATTGCCATCCTAAATATTATAAATTTTTTGTTTAAAAACAACAATTAAATCTTAACCATTCCTTACTCTCCCTTCCCTCTTTCCTTAATTTTTGAAGAACATCACGAAAATAAGGCCAACCTTGCCAGTAAGTTGATGAGCAAAATAGATGATAGCATATATGGGGACATTGGCGACTACGTTCCGGCCTCCTCGCTAATCAAGGTCAAACAGACCTCGCTTCATCAGGCCAAGCTTAAGCAGAAGGAGAGTATGGATTCCTACAAGCTATCAGCTTCTAACACGCATGCCAGGGATAAGGTGGATGAGGTGATGAGAAAGGCGTCCTCTTATTTCCAAGACACTTTGATCGATGGGAATGAAGATGACAGGTTGGACGTTGGCAAGGGTAATAATAACCACGATCCTAAGAGCGTTGGATACACTGGTAAAAATAATGCTAAGGGTAACATGGAAGATGCGGATGCGTTTATAGATTCCACCATAAAAATGGTTCAAGAGATTGGGAAGAAATTTAAGGTATATAGCTCTTACTCTTGGAAAAAAATTATTATTTAAGGTAGGGTGGTGCCGATATTAAATATCAGGTTGGATTCGATATTTACCGTTAAAACTGAGATATGAATGAATCAATAAAAGGAACCAAAATTTAATTTATTTGAAATGTTTATTTTTTTTAAAAGAAAGATATTTAAAATATGATATTATTTTCAACAAGAAAAGGATTTAAAAATATTAATTCATCCATAAACATTTTCCATGTATTAAATGGATGATTAACCTTCAGGAAATGTAAAATAAACACCAAAATACATATAAGCCATTCGTTGTAATAGGGAAATTTCCGTGCTTCTTATTTTGCTTTTAGTTATTTTTTTATATATAAAATATTAATTTTTATTACATTGGTGTTCAAAAATAGATCTTAAATAAAAATAACGGTGAAAAATTTGTTTCGGCACAGCCCTTGTGTGAGGTCTTACCAATAGTTCTTATTGAAATAGTTTTCAAATATATATAATAGAATTAATAAGATTTTTTTTACTTGTCAAGTACTATAATATTTGGCATTTAAATTTTTTATATTTCATAATTCAAAGGCTGGTCTAGACGGCAAAAATATGGGGATGGATGAAAAGGACCAAAGGTAATTGAATAATTGAATTGATAAATATTCAGGATAAGAAAAATATGATTTTTGTAATATTTTATCTAATAAAGTATTAAAAATGAGAAGAACCATTGAACCAGAACATAGGCCCGCATCCTTGCTTGATTTATTTTTTTGTTCTCAATTCCTCGAATTTTATTCAGAAAAGCAGCCCACGATTTTTTTTAAATAATAGATTTTGTCGTAAGGTATTAATATCCTTAAAATACACTTGCCCATTTTTTTTTTAAACGAATATATAAATCAGAATTTGTCACATTTTAATTTCCTTTTCCTCATAAATGTTTCCTCACATACTAATAAATATTCGCGAACTTTTATTTTTCAAAATATAAATGAAAAGAAAAGATTACATTATTTACAAAACGAGTGGTTGATTTTGAAAAACCAATTTTTCAAAAAATATATTTTGCGCTTAAAATTAATCGTAATTATGTTTATGTTAAAATTTTATTGTAAAAAAAAATGAATTCCTATAATTCTTCCAATATTCGAGTGGAAGCGGGAAAATTTAAAATAATATCAAATATTTTAGGTCTTTTTTTTAAAATGTTAATTCGATATTTTTATAATTTGTTTATTTTAGATTTTTAAAAAATATACATAGAGAACCAGTTAGGATTTTTCAATCGAAAATCTTTGCAAAGAATTTCCAACTTTGAATTTAAATATAAACTTGTTTTATGGGGCTTTTTTTCTTTTTAAAAAATTATATTTCCGTACAAAATATCAAACAAAAGATATCTAGCTCTCTTGAACAAAGAAACCAAGGCTTCTAAAAAAGACCATTTATCACTGGCATCCGCTTCAACAAATACTTACGCCGAATGCTATCCTGGTTATCACGATTCTGCTGAAGCTATTTACGATAGTGAAGACGAGGTTTTTTTAAATTTAATCTTTAAAAAAATGTCTTTTTGTGTAAATAATTGGATCAAATATTGAGATTTACTTTATCTATTTGGGATTTAATTTTCAAATGTTGGCAAAATATTACAGGTTGATTTTACTAAAATGGACCTGGGAAACAAGAAAGGGCCCGTGGGTAGATGGGATTTCGATACGCCAGAAGAATATTCGAGCTACATGTCGACCAAAGAAGCTTTGCCAAAGTTTAAAAAAAATCATAATTTATGTATAAGCATTCCTTCATATTCATAGATATATATATACACTCATCTATTTGGTATATCGTGCTGTTAGTTCTAAATTTTTTTGTACTAATTTGTCCTAGTAACATTTTTAGAAAATTAGGGTAATAAGTTAGGTTAATATTTTTGGTGGTCATTTTAGAATACTTTTATTATTTTGATTTAATCAAACTTGCTGACCCAATTCAATTATATTTTTAATTTTTAGAAACATATTTAGATTCAATTTACTCTGACCAATGACATCAAATATTATATAGCATTTTATCTTGTAAACGTAAAGATTATTGTTTCAAATTTGTAAATTATTATTTTAAATGATTACCTTATATAAAAATAGGCTTACATTTAAAACGATAAACTTTGAAATGATACCTTATAAGGTAAAATACTATAAACACTAGACTGACAAATAATCACTATTAACCTTAAACTAGCGTTATCAATTTAATTACGTTTGATAATATTGATAAATTATCATTTAAAACTAACTAGCTTGCTCACTTCATTAATTATTTGATACATCATTCAAAACTAAATATGACTGAACATTACTAAATAGTTTTAAAAAAACTCAAATATTCTAATTATTTAACAGGGCGGCATTTCAATATGGAGTTAAGATGAACGACGGAAGAAAGACCAGAAGAACTGGACCTAAAGACGAAAAAATGAAATTAGATCAAGAATGGCAGAAGATTAGCAAAATTATTCAGAAGCGAAAAGATTGAAATTAATTTTTTCAAAATTATAATAATTACCCCTAAATATATCTATGTAAAATATTGTTTTTTAATCACACTTTTGTAATATTTATATCTTACATATTTTAAAAAAAAAATTATTTATATTATCAAATTAACATTATAATATGGCTAATTTATTTATAATATCATTTTTTATAAATTTTATTGGTAACTATATTTTCTTAAATAAATGCAATACCATTTGAACAAAATTTGATGTAAATAATTATATTGTAATAAAAAAATGATAATCTTATAAAAACAAGCTAATGTGAGCATGACAAATTCCCACAACCCGACTTCCTCAGATTTTTTGCCTATTAATAGCAACGGAGATAGGCCTAAAAATTTTAAAAATTGGGCATTTAGGACAAAATACGCTTTCTTTAATTTTAGATATAATTTTGTTAGAAGTGTCATTTAAATACATTTATATAGCTAAATGATTGAATAATTGAGAGTCAGTATTATTAACATTAAGTATATCTGTTAAACGTGAGAATTTTTTTTTAAAAAAATAAATATTTCTTCAATGTTTTTTCTTACATATTATATAGATTTTTTTAGTCTATAAATTGTGTTATATAAAATATAGCTATATTAAAATAATATATAAACAATTTAAACATAATAATTTTACAAAACATGAGGTGGAAAAAAAAGCAATTAGATGGCCTACCTCATTGTAAATCGAGAAAACTAACACGGCGATTTGAGCTAATTATAACATTTTGAAAGAGAATCCTTGATACCCATTAATTTGACAATTAAAATAAATGTTTTTTTTAATATTTTGACTTTTAAAGTAAAAAAATTTTAATATAAAAAAAAAAATAAAATATCCAATTTGTAAATAATTTAAATTTTTAAAAATTCCCATTCTAGAAATTATAATAATAGGTAAAAAAAAGAGAAATTAATAATAAAGAAATGGTCGTTGAAGTAATATATTTAATATTTACACGTTTTTATGCTTTCTGTATTCTTTATTAGGAAAAGTTAACCAAAGTTAATAAAACTTCTGATACAAAATATGAGAATGGATTGGCAAAATTATGCTCATCATTGAATTCAAAAGCGAATGTTAAGCCCAGCAAAAACGAGCTAAAGTTTTGGTTTGTAATAATGTCACCAATTTTTAAAACAAAGGGTTTGGAATTTATCTCCCAACTTAAAGAGTATGCTATGCTCACATATGGCTTCATAATTCTAGACCCAGAAATGTTGCACTATTTTATCCTTAACATTTACATGATTTTTTTGTAGATCATATATAAAAAACTATGAAACAATAGAAATACTTAATGAAGTTAAAACATACAGTGAGAAAAGTGATAGGAATTATCAAATATTTTTGACTATCATTCCTGATGGATTATCCCTATATAATATCTTGAAAAATATATCATCCTCATTTTTGAGTATTTTATTAGAATTATTTAACTTTTTTATAATTTTAAATCTAGTGATATTTATACACCCCCCCCCCCCCAACTTTCTCTTTCATATATTTAAAAGTAATATCAAATTTCAAAGGAAGAATGGCTTTAAAAATAAATAGAGTTGATAATTTTCTAAGAAATTAAAATTATCAAATTTAGTTATTACTTAGAATAATACAGTATATGCATAGGTTTTATAAATAATATAATTGCATGATCGCAAAACAACTAATAATTACTTACATTAGTTTTTTAACCAGAGATACACTGGTACCACACAATATATAAATCAATATCATTATTTTTTTTTATTTCAATTATAATTTGTTTATTAAATTTATAAGATTATTTTTATAAAAAGAGAATTTAAAGAATAAAAGCATATTTCTTCTTTTTTATTGTTTAGAATTTTATATAATAATTTTTAAATAAATTTATAGCATAATGTTGACTAATTTTTTTTTAAATTTATAAAGGTTAAATATTAATTTTGAGTAGTTCTATGAAAATCGGCTTGATTTGAGCCAATTTCTGAAAATTGGTTAACTATATTTTAGTCAGAAAAATTTTCTTGAGACTTCACTAAAAGATATCTAAACCTTTGGGCCATCTATGAGCAAAATCTTCAGGTTAGCTTCTGGATAAAATAATTTAGTTATAGTTAAATCAACTCAAATATATCCATTTAACAACACTAATTTTGAGTATTGGCCAATGGTATTGGTTTTAAATTTTAAAGTAATTTGCTAATATTAATAATACCCCATATAAGCAGGGTTATACCAGAGACCTTCACGGCCCTTAGTTTTTTGATCATGCCTGGCCAAGACCCACAGTAAAAAAATTTAGGCCCAGGCCTGGCACATATTTAATATTTAAATAAAATCTCAAGCCCATAATAATTTCAAAAATTTAACTGTTCTGAATAAGCTAAATTAAAATTTCAAAAACCAATGCCTGCTAGAAAATATAATGTTAGAGGCTAATGGTTGTGTTACCATTAATTAGAAAACATATAAATCTTTTTGCTACATAAATAAGAATAAAATGAATAGAAAAATACAATAAGAATTTTATGGATTCATTTCTCTATAAAATCGAAAATAAATAGGATTATTATTTTAAGCATTGATAAAAGGACTAATTTTCAAATAAAACACCATTTTTCTTTGACCTTATTGCTAATAATGTTTGAAAAGACTTACAAAAACACAAATATATTGACGCTTTAAAAAACATGATCTAAAGTTATATGAAATGCATTTTGAGAATGAACACAGCATAAAACGCTCTATATTTGAAAACACTATTCAACTTTTAAATTTTAGGGATTATAGGAAGCGAGAATTGTATAAACTCTATAATATGATTCTAAATTATTTTAAATATCATAACTTTTTTCCTTATATAAACCACAAAGTATCATCCCAATGCGTTTATGAAAATACGGTACTTAGAAACATTTCATTGCAAAACATGATGCCTGAAATTATGGATAAATCAAGAGTCGAGCCATATGTAAATAATAACCAATTGTTTAATTATGATATTTTTTTATGATTTATAAACAAACGATTATTTAAATTTTTTATTACAATTCAACGACAAAATTTAGTCAATCATGAATCAGTTCCTATTATTTCTCTTCTACGATTAGATTTTCCATATTGATTCAATACCTTTTGATCAAATGAAACAGTACTTCCCAAAGGGTTAGTTAGGTAGGTTTTAACTTTGTCCCAGGGATACAACGAGTACCGGTTCAGGTTTGGAGAGGTTTGGTTCATTCAAAATAATAATACTATGAACCGTTAAAACCGACCTCAATATATAACCAAGACCTTTAAAATTGGTTCGAGCATTTAATTTATGATTTATGTATAACGTATATCTGATAAAAATAATGGTTCAGGTTCAGTTTATAAAAAATTATATTAGTGAATCTTTAAACCTGGTTAAACCTTTAAAACCGGTTCGATCTTTTATCACACAAACTGATCAGAATAATTTATAAAAATACACCATTTTTTTAAAAATTTTTATCACCATTCCATCTCCATATACATAAAGCAACTAACAATTTTTTTAAAAAAAATTATCTGCCAACTAATTTCTAATCAGAATAATTTAGGGTGAATCAGAGAGTTCTTCCCTTATCTGATGATAGGTGCATTAGAAATTTTGCTTTTTTTTGAGATATGAATTTGAAATTTGCCTTCATCAAGATGAGAAGTGATTCCAAAATTTTCTATTATTTTGATAAAATATGTTAATCCTTCTATATGAAACTAATGCTAAATTATCAATTTCACAATAGTTAAAAAAATTGTCTTTTCATGCCTAATAAAAAAATCTTTTCTTTTTATACATTTTGTATTTGTAATTTATGATTAAAAACATTTAATCGTGTTCAACCTTATTTAACGATTTATTATTTCAATATAAAGCCCTCATCTAGCAATATTAAAATTTTTTTTTAGATCATACATTACAAATACAAATGCGAGAAAATATAATTGAAAAGATATTTTTGATATTGTGCCCATACATAAGGACAATTTTTAGAAATATTATGAAGTCGATATCATAAATAGCTGTTTAACGGTTCAGGTTGGGTTTTAACCCTGTTTTATACTGTAATTTTTTTATGTACTTTAAAACATTCTTTAAAGATTAATTGCTTAGCTGATCTAAAAGTGCAGTATCCTAACGAATCTTTGGATTTCAAGAACGAAGACAATAAATCTGGCATCATCTCTCATCCTCACATATCGAGGCATGATACTCCAAATGGAACTGCCGAAGTCCGCGGTATTCTGATTTTAGAGTAAGCAATTATTTTATTTAACTTTGCGACATTTGAATGCAATGAGACTAGAATTTATGAGCGAAAGAAAAATGAAGATTAGTGTTTACTTTGCATTGATTTTATGTAGCTATTAGAGTTTTGATGATATTTTTTTATATATTGATTTAAAGGGAAGGTCTCCTTTGATCGTATTTTGGTCCATTTTCGGTCAAAATGGACGATATTATTATTCATAGGAATTTATTAAATATAATGCAAGTAATTATTTGATTTATGTATTTATTTAATATATCAGATAATTCGAAGTAATAATTTAAACAATATTAAAGATATAATCAATCCTAAAAGTGGACGAATTTACGATCAATTTATTTTACGATCATAGTTAGGCAAATCGATTTAGATATGCGGAAATTTAAATAAAAATCACAATTTGCATATTTATTTATAAAATGACACATTTACTTATAAATTATTTGTACGTTTGATAGACCAGGTCCCGAGATTTTAAAAAGGGTTTTAATTTCGTCTGGTTTTTCTTCCCTCAGTGGTTTCTATTTCCGGTGTTCTAAACTATGATTCTGATAATTTGATGATTATTTTATTTTTTTAAACATGTAAATATAGAAATTCTACAGTCCAGTTAAAATACGAAAAATGCTCATTTAATAATTGGCCAACTTATTATCCCGGTGACAAAGTGCATTTCAATATAAAATTCAATCATGTGAAAACCCACTTCGCCATTTATAAATTCGATTTTTCTGATGACAATTTCAAAAATTTAAGCGAGAAAAGATATCAAGTTATAATATTATTATAAATCGAGGATTTATATTTTAAAGATTCCATGCTAAACGAAACATTTTTTTTTTAAAAAAAGAGGATTTTCGGTCTACCC